AACATAGTAAATTGGGGAGAGCATATATTTCAAATTTCAGGGTTAAATGACAAAAGCGAAACATATAAGTATTTTTCTAACAAATAAGCAGAGGTATTTTGGTTATTTGACAACACATGAACTAACGATGTTAAGTTTAGTGGTTTTCTCCCAAAACATTATCGGGATTTAAGTGACAGTTTCTAACTAATTGGGGTTTTTGTGGAAAATGTCATAACTTATTGGGGATGTACTGAAATCTACCCTTAAAAACTTATTTGCTTCTACTAGATTCTATCCATTGCTAGTGCTTCATCCATTTTCAAATTATGCAAACATTATTCCCATTATTCTTTTATCTATTTTTAGTGAAATCCAATTATTTCTTAGTGACTGTGATCAAAGCCTACCTGGTACCGATGAAATTTTGATCCAATGAGATGGGGTTGATCAGGGACTGAAGTGTTTTTTCTGATAAATAATTAGAGGTATCGGGTCATTTGACAACACATGAACTGTTGATATTAAGTTTAGTGGTTTTCTGCCAAAACATTTTTGGGGTTAAAGTGGCAATTTTAAACTGATTGGGGTTTTTGTGCGAAATGTCAAAACTTATTGGGGATGTACTGAATTTTACCCTAAAAAATGCATTTGCTTCTACTAGACTCCATCTATTGCTATGCTTCATTGGTCTTCAAGCTATGCAGACATTAGTTCCATTATTCTTTTATCTATTTTTAATGAAATCTTATTATTTCTTATTGGTTGCGATAGAAGCCCTCTGGTACCGATGACATTTTGATCCGATGAGATGGGGTTGTAGGGACGGAGGTATATGGATGCCAAAGGTGACTTGGTGGGAAATCAGATGGGTTGATCGAGGGCGGAATTGTGGAGGGGTCGAAAGGGGCCGGCCTTGTGGGAGAAACAAGGGGTATTGGTATTAGTGATTCCTTAAGTTATAGGGGCTAAGTATGGAATCATTTGTGTAGTAAAAAAATACTAGAATTGAGTCTTTCAAGTAATCATTCCATGATATATTAAGCGTCACTTTGGTGGCATAAGATACTAGATTTCTCAAGTTTAAGAAATCTTTCCATGACTAAAATAAAATAAAATATACTGACATCAAAAGTTATAAGCACAAATTATCAGTTTCAAATATAATCCATATATATTGTTGGTAATACATGTTGCTAGAGCTTTCGTTTTTGCATCCCTATCCCATTTCCTTTAAACAAACCATACCCTGAAAATTAGAAGACAAAAAAGTTAACAAAAACTAAACAAATCAAAAAGGCGGAGATTAGGAATCCTAAGACCCTAGGCCCCATTTTGCAAGGGGTCAAGGGGGTTTAACCCCTCATTACCCATCCAAACATATTAATTTGGTTAAAGTGCTGACCAACCATTTACATGGGTTAGGTTAGCTAACCTCTAATTTAGAGGAGTTAACTAATTCGTTTAAAGAGGAGGGTCTAGAGTTACTCCTCTAGAAATAAGAAGTGAAACTTTAAAAATGAATATGCTTCAAAATATTTATGGCAACTAATTAACCTCCTTGACCCTTCTTTATTTGCCAAACACAAAAAACTTTACTCTTCATCTTGACAATCAAATCCAAATGGAATTTAATTATTTTTAACCTCTCATAAAGGTTTAACTAAATTAGCCCTTATCCTTAACCCTTTCTCCTAACCCCTTGCCAAATGGATTTGGATCCTCTCCACTACAAAAAAGTAGTGGAGAGATCACTACTTTTAATCTCAAGCGTTGATTATTTAGTAGACGGTTATGATACAATCTAAATCTAACACTTACCATACCCACGTGTATTGCACTCATTCCTAATTTGCACTAAAATAAAAAATCATAACCATCAACTAGATAATCAATGGCTGTGATTATGTAGTGGTCCCTCCACTATTTTTTTTGTAGTGGAGAGGATCCGAATCCTTGCCAAATGGCATGTAAAACACTAAACAAAAAAAGAAAGAAAGAAAGAAACTAAGCAAATCAAGCCATAAACCTAAATAAATAAATAAGGAGGAAGTTAAATTTAGAAAACTAAGCAAATCAAACCCTGAAATCTAAATAAATCAATAGAGGGTATAGTTAGAAAACTAACAGGAGGAAATTTGTTTGGGGATGTTGACGGATGGCTTGATGAAATGCTAGCCACGAGGATAGGAGGGTAGAGGAAATGTTGTTGTTTGCGGTCGTGGAGGCTATTTGTTTAGGAGAAAAGAAATTCACGTGGTTTTTCTGTTTTGTGAAAGTTTGAGGATTTACATTTTTGCCTCTATAATTAATGTCTCTTTGTCAATTTTTTCCTCCAACGTTGAACCAAGGCCTCTATGCCTCGCCTCTGCTTCACTTTTGGTGTGTTTGGGAGATGACTAAGGGAAGGGAATGAAGGGAAATTTTTTCCCTTCCTTTCCTTTTCCTTGTTTAGGCAACACCCCCCCACCCCGCCCACCCCCCCACCCCAATTTTGTGGGGTAAGATTATTTAGTTCAATTTTCTCTCACATTCCCTTCCTCTACCCTTCTAAATGGAACTCCCAAACAAAGGTAAACTAAAAATTTCCTTCCCCTTCCCTTCTCTACCCTCCATCCAAACAGACCAAAGTTTGTGGCTATCTGCCACTTTGTCCCTTGAAATAGTTAAACGTATATTGAGAACGAAATTAGGCAAAAAAAGTGTATGCTTTTGTCTATTAGGTATAATTATTCATCTAATTTGATTATTCTTTCCTTCTTTTCATTGTGATACTATCTACAGAAATGAATTCCAACAGCTTATGTTGTAACGTAGCTTAATTGCTTCGATTACTAAAAAAAATGTTGTTTAATTGCTTAGAAAATTTTCACAGTTTTCTAATGAGAATACAAGTGACACTCTTCATGAAATCGGAGAGAAGGCGAGGTCAACAGCTGAAGAGTTCACTAGGAAAGCCAAAGAAGGGAAAGAATCAATGAAGGAAACTGCCCAAGAAGTTATGGAGACCGCCAAGGATGCAACAATTGGAGAGACCCAAGCAGATAAAGAGAAGTTCAAAGAGAAAGTCGAAGAGGGTAACTACGACAAAATAGGCCGCGACTAATGTGCTATCATATTGATCAGGTTAGGTAGGCCCTGCGTTTGTGCTCAATGTGCAAACAAAGTTTGGATTTGGATTTCAGTTTTCAGTACTCTCTGAGCTCTAGACGTATGCTTTGAATGTAACAGGGCTATTAGAGTTTCTTGCTTCTATTTGCAGAATAAGGATAGTTGAGTGAGTTTTTTTCAGATGCAGTCGAGTGCATTAACGGTCGCTGTTCAGCAGCAGGAGTACATTTAAATATGTGTGATGTTGTGGGAAGCCTATACATAAACTTGGACTCATAAACATGCCGTTTCTAATACCATCTTTGTTATTTTATAATGAGTGGAGCGCACAGGCGTGGTAATATCAACCAGATTATGTGCCTCTGTTGCTGCTGTGGGGTATCATTTGAGGTAATAGAAATTGTCTTATCATCTATAGGACGATGAAGAAAAACATGCATACCGTTTTAGTAATTTATCCTTGTTGATAATAGTGTATAGTAGTAGGTTTTAGTCCCACATTGCTTGGGAGAACAAACCTCACACTCCTCTACTTGTATAAATATATGTGCATACTCAATATTTAATTTAAGGGAAATTTACCCAAGATTCTCTCTCTCTTACTTTAACATGGTATCAGAGCTAGGGCTATTTCCCTTCTAATAAAATTTTTTAACGCTTCTGCGTTCTTTTGCCAAATCTTGGCCTTATTGCTTTGCAGCCGTTTAATGTTTTTTTTCTTTCTGCCAGATATTTTGGCCTTGTCGCTTTGCGGCCTCTTAACGCGTTTCGTGTTCTTGTTTAAACCTTCGGGTTTTCATTCTAACCTTCGGGTTCTATTTTAACGGCATTATCGTTTCAAGACCGTCTCTCGGTCTCAAATTAACGGCATCGTCGTTTCAAGCCGTCTCTCGGCCTCAAACGAACGACATTGCCGTTTCGCAGTCAGTAACGACATCTCGACATCTTAACGTCTCAACGTTGCTGTTATGGCTCCTTCAGAGAAGATTCCCAAACCACCTTTGCCCCTCAATGATCAAAGTGACTGGGCAGGGTGGTCCACCATTGTCACCAATGCCTTGCGTGGCGCTGGTTTGCTTGATCATCTCACCAGTACGGGACCAGTTCCACCGTCCATCAGCACTGTTGCTTCATCCAGTACTATTGCCTCTGACAGTGGTAATGTCGATCTTCAGACTGCTCGTGCTCTCTATGTCAAGGAGAGTTCAGAGTGGCAATTGCAGGAATTTCGTGTCATGGATTATCTCACTCGCTGTTGGCTCTGGTCTCACTGTCGAGATTGACTCGCTTCCCTCTGCTCGGGCCATGTGGACTCGTCTCACTGAGCGTTTCACTAAGTGCTCGGGTGCACGGGAGGCATATCTTCTGCAACGCATTGCTCTACAACGCAGAGGTAGTTCATCTCTGCAGTCCCATTTTGGACAAATGCAAGCTTTTTGGACAGAGTTACGCTCCATGCTTCCTGGACGTAATTCCACATATGAAGACTGGCTAGCCTGGTACGAACGACATGAGGTGCATCAACTGTTTCAGTCCCTTCCTGAATATTCAACTATGGCTGATCAACTACTTCACCAGCCTCAATTTCCGACTTTGGCCTCAGTTATGGGAGCTCTCACTGCTTATGAGACCCGGCAGCAGACAACACGACTCAATTTGTCAACAGACACTCCTACCTCTTCACTCGAGACTGTTTTGTCTTTACCTGTCACTGCTCCTGTTATGAATCATACTTCTCCACATGCTCCCTCTCCACAGGCTCGATCTAAGCTCTCTTGCAAATATTGCAAGAAGGAATGACACCGTATTGAGACATGCTTCAAGCTTCATCCTGAGTTACGTTCCTCAGGTACTGGTCGTGGTCGGCAACCCTCTCAGTCTCAACCCTCTCGTACACCAGGATTGTTGGCCAATGCTATACCTTCTACTACTTCAGACTCTACTATTCAAGCTATTGAAAGTCTTCGCCGTCAACTTGATGCTTTTCAACATATCACCTCTACATCCGCCGCACAACTCTCTGGTATGCATTTTGCTGGTTCTTCAGCTAATCCTTCGGTCTCTGGTATGAATGATCTTTGGATTTTTGACTCTGGTTGTTCCTTTCATATGACTTGTAATGCCTCTCTTTTATCCTCTGTCTTTACTTCATCCTCTCTTCCTCCTATCTACACAGCTGCTGGACAACCATTGTCCATTACTCAGTATGGCTCTATTACCCCCACAAAATGATCCATCTGGTCGTCTAACACTTGGTCCCGTCTATGTGGCTCCTCAGTTGTGCTTGAATTTAATTTCTATTAGCTCTTTATGCACGGCGGGCTTGTTTGTCTCATTTTCTTCTGATACTTGTATTGTACAGGATCCACAGACGGGCAAGACGGTTGGGGCGGGTCGTAGGAGTCTGATACTTGTATTGTACAGGATCCACAGACGGGCAAGACGGTTGGGGCGGGTCGTAGGAGGCACAAATTTTATTTTATGGAATATCTTCACCTTCCAGAGTCCATACGTCCACGTTCTCTTGTTGCTTCTCTTTGTTCGTCAAAACCCTTTACCTCGCTTCCTGCCAATTTATGGCATAGACGACTTGGTCATGTGTGTAATAAAAGGCTGGAGAGTCTTATTCAGTCTGGAGTACTTGGTCCTGTATCATCTAGTTCTAGTATTGAGTCATGTGCTGGTTGCAAATTGGCTAAATTCACTGCTTTACCATTTAAAATGAGTACATCTGTATCCACTTCCTTATTTGATTTAGTACATTCTGATATTTGGGGGCCAGCTCCTTTGCCTTCTTCATCTGGCTACTTATATTATGTTAGTTTTATCGACGATTTCTCTCGTTTTACATGGGTTTACCTACTTAAGAATCGCTCTGACGTACTTACTGCTTATCAAGCCTTCACTGCTATGATTTTCACTCAATGGCAATCTCGTATTAAAGTTTTTCGTTCTGATTGTGCCAAAGAGTACCTATCCTCTACCATGCGCTCTATCATGTCCTCTCATGGGACTATCTTTCAACAGTCATGTCCCTACACTCATGAGCAAAAGGGTGTTGCTGAACGCAAACATCGTTATATCCTCGATACTGCTCGATCAATGCTCATTTCTTACTCTGTTCCTCGTCGTTTTTGGGCTGAGGCTATTCTCACCGCGACTCATGCCATTAATATCACTCCATCTAGCTCTCTTTCTGGTGCTACTCCTTATAGTCGTGTTTATACTCATCCTCCCCGTTATAATCTAGTTCGCGTTTTTGGTTGTCGATGTTTTGTTCTTTTGCCATCTCACGAACGTGATAAATTGTCTCCCAGAGCTGTTTCTTGTGTTTATTTAGGAATTAGTTCAGAACATCGAGGTTATCGTTGTTATGATCCAGCAACTCGTCGAGTTCATATATCTCGTCATGTTCAGTTCGAAGAGGATTCTCCATATTATTCTGCTTCTGATGACTTTAATTTCCTCCACTCTACCGATCATGCTTCCCCGTCCACTGCATCACCCACTTCTTCACCTCAATTTTCCTTTCGAGATCTCCCTGACATCTCTCCCTCTCCTTCTGTTGACTCTTCCTCACCCGAGTCTTCTCTTACACCATCTAATCCATATCCCGTGGACACAACTCTCACTTTAGAAAATATTGTTGATCTCCACGTACCTGCGCCAGCATCTCCCCCGCCTGAGGTTCCTCTTGCTCTTCGTCGAGGCAAACGCCCACATGTCATGCCTGCCCGGTATGCTTCTGTTACTTCTTATTCACCTATCTTTCATAACTTTCTTGCTGCCATTCATACTATTGTTGAGCCAAAGTCCTTCCAAGAGGCAGTTCAAATTCCAGAGTGGCGACAAGCTATGGCTGAGGAATTTCAAGCATTTCAGCAAACTCATACCTGGGATATTGTTCCCTGTCCTCCTGGGATCTCTCTTGTTGGCAGTAAATGGGTTTATAAGGTCAAGTTTCGTCTCATTTAGTGGCTCGAGGTTTTACTCAGCAACAAGGTATTGATTATGAGGAGACATTTGCTCCTGTTGTTCAGATGCCCACTGTTCGTACTCTCCTTGCGGTCGCTGCTGCTCATCGTTGGCTCTTATACCAGATGGATGTCAAAAATGCTTTTCTTCATGGCTCTTTATCAGAGACCGTATATATGCAACCGCCTCCAGGGTCAAATATTCCTCCGGGACATGTATGTCTCCTTCGTCGTGCTGTTTATGGTCTCAAACAGGCACCCCGCGCTTGGTTTGAGTGTTTTCGCGATGTTGTGCTCAAAGCGGGCTTTATAGAAAGTCATCAAGATGCTTCTCTGTTTGTTCGCACTACATCGCGTGGCAGGGTTTTATTACTCATCTATGTAGATGATATGATCATTACAGGTGATGATATGACAGGTATACAATACGCAAAATCTCAGTTGCAACAACAGTTCCACATGAAGGATCTTGGATCTCTTCGGTATTTCCTTGGTCTAGAAATTTCTCAAGGCCCGCGGGGTGTATTACTGTCTCAACAGAAGTATCTCTCAGATATTCTAAATCAAGCTGAGTTAACTGATAATACAACTGTCGATACTCCACTCCAGCAGAATGTCAAACTTTGCTCTACTGACGGTGAGCCTCTATCTGATCCTACCCGATATCGACATCTTGTTGGCCAGTTGGTCTATTTGTGCATCTCTCGACCAGATATCTCTCATGCTGTTGGTATTGTCAGTCAATTTGTTAGTGCTCCACGTTCTGTATACTATGCTGTCTTATTACGGATTCTTCGGTACCTCCGGGGTACTAGCACTCGCTCTCTTTTGTTTCCTGCTACATCTAAGTTAGAGCTTTGTGCATATTCTGATGCTGATTGGGCCGGTGATCCAACTACCAGAAAGTCTACCACAGGTTATTGTATATTTCTTGGTGATTCCCTTATTTCCTGGCGAAGTAAGAAACAAGATGTTATTGCTCTTTCCAGTACTGAGGCAGAGTATCGTGCAATGTCCACAACAGCTAAAGAGATTATTCATCTTCGTCGCCTTCTCAGTGATTTCGGCATTTCTGTTACGACTCCTACTCCTCTCTACTGTGATAATAAGAGTGCCATCCAGATTGCTAATAATCCAGTATTTCATGAAAGGACCAAACATATTGAGATCGACGCTCATTTTGTCCGTCACCAAGTTATCAAGGACAAGACAATTCTACTTCCTCATGTTTCATCCGCTGACGAGCTTGCAGATTTCTTTACAAAGGCCTTACCTGTTCATCGGTTCCAGTTTCTTGTACGCAAACTCACTTTGTTTGATCCAACATGAGTTTGAAGGG